CCTTCGTGTAGTCAGGTAGAAGCTCCATATATAACCTCCTTAAGATCACCATGAAGAAATGCGTTCTTCACATCCAGCTGAATTCACAGCCAATTCTTCATTGCTGCTACTACCAACAAACTACGCACGGTTTGCATCTTTGCAACTGGAGCACAAGTTTCTTCATAGTCGATACCATATTCCTGCCCAAAATCCTGCGCCACCGACAACCAATTACAGAGAACTCAGGAGACCGAGGGACTAAATCCCACGTGTGAGCTCCCTCTAGGGCATCAGTTTCAACTTGCATGGCATTGTCCCATTCAGCCTGTCCCTTCGCTTGTTTGTAGGAAGCAGGAACCATGATAATGGGGGTCGAAAACGTCACAAAATCAGAATGACGGCGTGGCGGTTGACCCATAGTGGATCGGTTAGACCGACGTAGCAGAGGAGCTTCATCAATCACCAACTAGGAATATGCCGAGGAAGAAGACATGGAAGAGTTGCTCGGCTGCTGGGTGGAATCGGTACTCGAATGCTGGGAGGAAGTAGTACTCGTGTTGGGGCTCGCAGACGAGGAGTGATGACGCGTACTTGGAGACGAGGGCGAAGAAGGCGAACTGTCGGAGGAGCTGGTCGAGGAGGTAGCAGATGAAGACGAAGATGCAGCTGAGTCATTGATGGAAGGTTCGGTAGCAGTTGGAGACGGAAGCAACTCAGGTAACTGCAAGAAATCCAAATCAGGTGGAGGAGAGGATGCGAATTCAGGGCTACCAAGATACAACATGTGTTCAAGAAACACAACGTGACATGAAACTCGAACTCTCCTTGCGTCAACATCATAACACACAGAGCCCTTTTGAGTTTCTGAATAACCAAGAAAGACACACTTGATTGACTTGAGAGTGAGTTTATTTCGTTCTCGTTGAGTAACTAGAACATAACACACACACCCAAAAACTTTTAGCCAACCATAGTTGGGTAGACGCATGTATAAGACCTGGTACAGACTTTGTTGTTGTAGGATAGGAGTAATCTGTCTATTAATCAAATAAACAGTAGTATGAACAGCTTCAACCCAGAAATCCGAAGGAACAAGAGAATGAAACAATAATGCCCGAGTCAGCTCAAGAACATGTCGATTTTTCCTTTCCACCAAACCATTTTGTTGAGACACACCTGTACAAAATTGTTGAGAAATAATACCACGCTCACGCAGAAAGTTTTGGAACGGACCAGAGGTGAATTCTCCCCCTTGATCCGAATGCAGTATCTTCACATTTCGATTAAACTGAGTGGAGACCATTGCCATAAAGTCCTGTGCTACAGAATGTAACTCATACTTTTGACGAAGAAATAAAAATCATGTAAAACGGGTGGCATGATCCACAAAGAGCGCAAAATAGCGATACCCCAAATGGGAGGTGACAGGTGATGGTCCCCATAAGTCAGTATGTACGAGATAAAATGGCCCAGGAAAAATAGCAGAGCTCGACGAAAAGGAATTTTGCGTCATCTTAGCTTGTAAATAATGAACGCACTCATTAATCTGATCACTCAAAATAGTACAAGATAACCATTTATTCAGAAACATAGTACGAAGTCTCGCATCATTAAGATGACCCAAAGGAAAATACCATAAATCCCAGTATGACAATTTAACTGCAGAAACCAAATACTGTCTACGAAATTCCGACAAATGATGCTGAGCTACACCTAATTTCCCTACCGCCGCATTCTTCTTTTCTTCAAGACTCCTCACATCCGAGCCTCCTGACCGAGAGTAGGAATCCAATAGAAAAGTCCGACCCTTCTTACTCCCTCTCCTTAGCTCCTGCCCCGTCTTCGTGTCCTGCACAAGACACTCGGAATTATAAATAACAACCCAACACCCATCTTTAGTCAGCTGACACACATAAACAAGGCTAGGTACAAGCTTGGGAACATATATAGTATTTGGTAGCAAAATGTGAGGCCGAGTTATGTGTCTCATACCCTTAACCGACATAAGAGATCCATTCACAGCTTGTAAAGCGAGAGAGGGAACGGAGGTATCAAGAGAGCTAAAGGAATTGCGGGAGCTAGTCATATGGTTATAGGCAGCAGAGTCAATATGCCAAGAAGAAGAGGGAGAAACTGTACCCGTAGCGAAGGCTGAAGTAAGAGCAGGAGGCAAGGCTTCCTTCAACGCTTTCTGGACAAGACGTCTAACATTAGCCGATGTGAGGGAAGAGGAAGATTCCGCAGCAACCATCGTGGTAGCATAGGCTTCCCCATACCCGGATCCACCATGGGTGCCAGTGCCACGACCGCGGCCCCGACGAGCAAGAACAGGACAGTCGGAGATCACATGACCCTCCTGTTTACAGTAATTGCACATGTTTTTTTTCTTTGGACACTCTGCAATCACATGACCCTCCTGCTTACAGTAGTGACAAACATTCCTATTCTTTCAGTGATATTGAATATGACCTGGTTCTTTGCAGTGATGACAAATGATTTCACCCTTCGCAGTACGATGAAACTAAGTTTCCCTCCCTGAACAACAAAACACTAGGATTATCGCTAGCATGAATATCCAATTTCGCCTGGCTACGCAGGCAAGTCTCCTCGCGAAGCAACTCCCCCAAGATTTCATCCATCGTCTCAACATTACGATGAAGAAGCGAGGCCCGAATCCCTTCAAACTTAGGACGCAAGTTCATCAAAAACCTCATGATACGAGTGCTGGTGCGCTCCCGAATCACTTCAGCCGAGACCGCACTAGACAACAAAGAACTAGTCAAGTGATTATGTTCAGTCCTGAGCGTGACCGCATTCTGATAATATGTGCTCACATCAGAATTACCCTGAGTCAACCGGCCCAGATCACACTCAATATCGAACTTACAAGAGCACTCGGCTTGGAGTAAAGATTATTGAGATGCTGCCAAATTTTCGCAGCCATATTGAAACCGTGCAAGCTCAAGGCGATACCAGGATCCATAGACCCAAGTGACGCAGACATAACCGCAACATTAGAAGCATCCCAATCCTTCGGTGTCTTGGCGGGAGCATCAGCGGCTGGGACTTTGGCCGAGCCATCAAGGAAGGACAACAAGCGCCATCCTTGAAGATGCAAGCGAAACTGAAAAGCCCATAGGGCAAAAATTTTACCAGTGAAGCGAATAGAAAAGGGATCCCCACGTGAAGTATCCATGGTTGATCAATGAGAGACCCGAAAGCAACTCAAGCTAGAAACCAAAATAGCACACAACCCGCAAGACCGAAAGACAACAACCTGAGCAAAGACGAAGGCAGAGAAGAAATTCCGCAGCAGCACGACGAGCGAGCACAGGCAGCAACACAAACACGAACAAGAACAAGAACAAGAACAGAAGCTCGGAGAAAAATAGCGCGAGGCTCTTATATCATGTCAATTACCTGATCAAACACAGAATCACGAGAACACAAAACGCAAGATTTACGTGGTTTCCTCAACAATGATTGTTGAGACTAGTTCACAGCACAAGGTAGAGTTCACGTTTATTACTCACGTATTCGTTACAGCTTAAACTCGACTATACAACATATATATACACTTAGGCGAGCCCTTAACCTTAACTGATTAATTACAGTTAGGTACTCATAACTTCTAACAATTTAGTCTCATTTATTGTGGGAATTTAATAAAAGAAGACTAAATTAATATAGCACATTGATAACTTTTATAAGTACTTCTAAAACAACTTGTATAATTGTCTACATATATGGTAGAAATAAATTTTTTAAAAGTTGCAAAAAATTGTTTGAAATTAGTGGAAGTTGAGTAAAACAATGCACTGTCCCGAACAACCCGCAAGCCGATCCGTTCGTAACCCACCTGATTCGTAACCTGATCAACCTACAACCTCTAACCCGATCAACCCGCAACTCGACTGACTCGCAACCCAATTAACCCGTAACCCGACTGAGCCGCAACCCAATAAACCCGAACGTGACTAACCCGCAACCCGATGAACCCGAAACCCGACTAACCCATAACCCAATTGAACCTAGCCCGAATCCGCCGATTGACACTAATATGTAGGATTGATTTAAAGTAGACCAAGCCATTAGTAAACACTCCGTTTAATACACGTATATGTACCCGTACGTACTTTATCCGTTTAAAACTTCCGTATCCGTATGATTGTCAAGCCGTTTCATTTTTTTCCGTTCATTGGATGGTTCCCGTACTAAACACGTATAAAACCCGTATAACACGTTTAATATCCGTATTTAATGAATTAAATTGTAAACTTTACTATTATTTATATATTTATTTATTTTTAAAACAATTACTTTTTATATATTTATTGCTATTAATGTACTATTAAACGTAACTTTAGCTTAGCGACAACGTAAATTATCCGTACGTATTTTTTACGTAACTTTCCCGTACCGTATTTTACTAACTATGCTCTAGATCCCAAAATTCCTGACAACCACCACAGAGACTAGTTTTTTTTTTTTTTTTTTTTTGTCTGCGAGGACTACCCTCATGTGAAAACGCGATTTAATTGTAAATAGTAAATACTTCGTATGTGTGAGGACTGAGGTGACTATTGCGATTGAGAAATTTACTATCCACAACTCAATAAATTGTATAAATGCACGTTTTCCCCATTAGATTAAATATGTTATATATGTATGATTGAGAATCGTTTACCAAGATGTGAGGTGGGCAACAAGTAGAGCGATACAATGCACTCGTCATGTTAGCATTAACACTGCCTCGTCCTTGAAAACATTGATAACAGTTGGATCCATGGCAGTTGAAAAATAGTAAATGTCGAAAACGAAAAGGGATATTTATGGAGAGAAGGAGAGGTGTGTATGTATGTGGGGCAAGATGGCGCCATCAATTCATGAATGAGGCGGGGAGGAGACCATCCATCATCCCACTCCCACTCCAATTCTCACTCTCATATTATGAGACAAAACTTCCAAGCGCGAAGCAGCAGCAGAAGCAAGACGCAAAGTTGAGCAGCAACAGCAGGATGATGACGACGATGATGTCAAAAGACATGGCTACCCCTAACCCTTCCTTCAGGGTCTACTACGGCGGCGCACCGGGCTCCGTCCCCTTCACCTGGGAATCCGCACCCGGAACTCCCAAGCACCGCCTCTTCTCCTCCTCCTCCGCCGCCGCCGACGACGACCACTCCAATCTCCCGCCGCTGACTCCTCCGCCTTCCTTCTACTCCTCCTCCAATCACTCCCGCCGCCGCCGCCGCTTCCGCTCCTCCTCCGCGGCCGCCATCAGGCTGCCCAACTTCCTCTTCAGAGCCCTTTTCCCCAAACCCAGCGCCGCCGCCGCCTCGAGGTCCTCTGCCACATCTTCCTCCTATTCTTCTCATCATTATTCCGACCACAATTACAATTCCAATTGCTCGCTGTCCTACTCCTCCTCCTCCACGTCGTCGTCGTCGTCTTCCTCCTCCGACGCGCACGGGAGGAAGGCGTGGGGGCAGAGCCGGTGCTTCTCCTGCTCTGGGCTGCACCGCCGCCGCCACGCATCGGTAGATGAAGAAGAAAGTAAAGGAGGCAGCGCTGTTATGAAGAAGCGAAGGTCGGTGTCTTTGGGAAGATGGTGTTCCTTTGGGAGGGTGAGAAACGCTGTGTAGTCATAGTTAATTACAGTCTCCTCCAGCTGGAAAATGGCTTCTTAATTTGGCTTAGCTTTTTTTTTTCTCACCCATCTGTGGAGAAGAAAATAATAAGGGAAATAATTTACAGCAAGGTTAAAATTAAACTAAACCCCTCCTGGTTCCGGTTATCGGAAGGGCCGAATATTGTTGTATGTGGAATTTCTTAGCTATAGTTCCCCCTTTGTCAATTGTCATTCAATTTGTATGGAGAATCTGTGTTCATTTCTTCCTTTTTGTTCTGGTGTGCTGAGTAAGTCGATCTGTTATATGATTGGAAAAGCCTAAAATTGAATGTACACTGGTCCTCTGTTACTGTTACTGGATGATTGATAACACCATTTGTATTCATCCTCCATTTTTAATTAGGTGTTTTCAAAGAGATTTAAGCAGAGCATTCGAACTTTGATATGATCTAGCTGGAATTGCTTTCATCTTGCATATTTATGGTCTTCGAGGACACAATTCACGATTTAAGTGTTAATGTCTTCTAGGTGATCACCCCAAGTTATAAAAAATCGATTGTGCTGACATTGTAGCGACCCCCACTCTATTGATCTTCGCACCACAATTGTCGTGAATCTAAAATCTATCATTTGCATGTACGTCTTTAACTAGGATGAGGGTAGTTCAAACTTCAACCCCAATATATATTGCTTCTCTATTAACTTGTTCTCTAGTAATACAAATTCCTTAGCACAACAAACAAACACAACTTTTCATTAGATAGTGATCAAAATTAAAAGGAGCAAGATTAGGATATCGGCAAACCTTGGGATTGCGACCGAGGGACTATACTGCAAGTCTAGCAATGACGTACTTGTCGTTGCCAGTTTTCAGAGTTAGTGTGCATCGATTTAGATCACTCCATCTGAGTATGTCATAAACCAGGTCCCAATAACTCGAGTTGTTGGGAGAAGGTTATGTTGGATCTTATACAGGCTCGTGTATGGTGCTTAACCACTTCCTTACACACCCCCTCAAACGAAAGCCGACTCATGGGCTTTAAGTTTGCACAGGTCCGCCATAACATGTGCTTGAAAGACAAAGATTAATATTGGGGGTCGTGAGGACTTGAACACGTGATCTCAAGGACAAACCAGCTCTGATACCATGTCATAAACCAGTTGGTCCCAATAATTCGAGTTGTTGGGAGAAGGTTATTTTGGATCTTATACATGCCCGTGTATGGTGCTTAACCACTTCCTTAGAGAGTATACCGCATGAGTCGATGATCAACAATCATCAAAATTCAAAACCCACATATTAATTAATATACAGTACTTGCACGCCTAAAAAGGGGCGAGCATGATCATGGAGTACGTAGGTCAGGACTCAAACCTTACCTAGGTCAATGAAGTCATGACTCCAGGTGCCACTACGGTGTGAATAGTAGGCGCTATAACTCTACAAGGGTACTGCTATAGCTATATATATTAGCGTGTAATGTTGTGTTTGCCAATTAAGTAGGCTGCGATAAAATTAATGCTGGCGCTTAATTGACGCAAAACGTTAATATACACTGTTTACTACTAAATCACAATAGGGTTTTGCAATCTAGTCTGCTGAAACGACAAGCATTAGAATTCGGATGTAAGTGTTGGCTACATAAATTCCAAGGTCTAGCACATTGGCTAGCTAATACACATTGATGGACGAAACCGACCTTCCAAAGTAGTTCAATCATCCATCCACATCAACAACGCCAAATCTGATTAATTATTTCAGATCCATCTCCAGGGTACGTGCGTGTTTGTGATTGGAGGTCGTGTGAATGTGGATATCAATTAATGAAAAAGACATTAATTAGCAGCATCTCATATTATCGACTAAGTATGGGAGAGATCATTGATTTATAAATAAAAAAACGACATTAACTGACGAGACGCATTATGAGGTGCAATGTAGTCAAAAGCGCGTTTCTACGTAGAAGCGTTTTGGACCTTTTGGTGATGTAAAAGCGTAAAACCGTAAGCTTTAAAGCGTAGTTTTTAACTACATTAGTTATAAAAATGGAGATTATGCGTAGAAACATTTTGGTGATCTAGAAACGTAAAACCGTAAGTTTTTTAATATTTGAAGCGTGATTTTGACTATATTGATGGGGTGAAATGGAGAAGTCATTTTAAGAACTCTGAAATTAAATGTGTTCATTCTGAAGCACTATAAAGATAGATGAACCGATGAAAGTCACATTCATATACACCCTAACACCAAAAATCATGAGTTTATAGACCAAAAGGCAATAATGTCTTATGACTCTTATCGAAATAAGATTTGAAATATTAGAAGCAATAATTAAGAAGAAGAAAAAAAAAGAGTCTCTTGGTAATGTTATTGTTTTTACCGGGTAACAAACAACACATCACAATTGCATTTGTGAGGTGATGAGAAATTTAGTTAGGAGGGTTGGTTGAGTAATGACGAAGTTGGTGGGAGGAGGAGAGGAGTGGGAGTGGGAATGGGAATGGGAGGTTCTTCATTTATTTTAGGGAACAGAAATCCAACTACTACTGCTGATGCCCCACAGGATGAGCTGTAGTGAATGTGATGCATCCAGAAGCACAAATGCCAAATCGCAGAGGGCATGCGAGCCTAGTAATTAAGGACGCCACACCCACCTTAATTAGTCCTTAAATAAAGAAAGAAAGACTACCATTCCATTCCCTGCAGCTTGGCTGCTACATTCACTAGCCTCTCACCCACCTCTTCCAGGCCCCTCCTGCCTGCCTCTTTGTGGATGCCTAATATCAATTATCAACTCACTTCTCTAACTTTTAAAAAATGGATGCATATTATTCATTTAATTTACGGGTAAATTACAAGATTGGTCACTGGAATTACTAAAAAAATGTTTATATTTGGTCACTAAAAATATTTAATTACATTCGTGGTCACTAAGTTTAGTTTAGCATTCCAAGTATAGTCACTCTCCGTTAATCTCCGTCAACTTTCATTAGTGACATCAATTTTTTTGCTGACGTAGCTAACAAAAATGTATATTCCCCTAATTTTAACCAAAATAAATATATTATAAAAATCGGCCACTTCAATAGACACCCAACCCGTGCCCCCTACCCATCCCAGGAAAAATCGTGAACCGACTGATCATCTCGCCGTCTTTTCGCGCCGTCATTGTCTTCTTTCTCTAAATTCCCATATATCCAAGGATGGTCATTCCCGTTTCTTCTCCGCCTTCCCGCTAAGACCAACTTCAATACTAGTCCCCAAATTTGGGGATTGTCACCGTTTTCATCATTTTGCATAGTGTAAGCAAGTAATAAGAATTATCGAACCACGGGTCTCTAGGTGCACCTTACTTCAGGTTAGGGTTTGGTTATCTAGCCAACATAGAATAGTAATAAGAAACTAAACTAACTACACTAACCTAACCACTATCCTAGCCAATCACAAGTTTGTGGAGCTCTCTTAACTTGATCCTCCTAGTTCTATCATTTGGACCGATGGTGCGTACCTTCCTAGCTCAATTGGCTCAATTCATCTACCAATAGGAGATAGAATCCCTCGAGAATTCAACCAGAATGGCGTATCAATGAATGGGTAGTGCTCTATTCAACCTAGGGATTCAAATACCGTCAAGAAATTGACTCCCTTGGGGATTACCCGAAACAATATATGATATGAGCGACCCTAAGATGCCAATAATGAGCTCTAAGGGGATTTTCTCCCTCCTAGGTAAAAAAACCCAATTTGGCATGAAATGGAATCAACACTCATGCAACTCATGAAAATCATCCATCAACTAAATCAAAGCAGCAATCAAACGTAGGATTCATCACATACATCAACACCAAACCAAAATATAGAACTAGGGTTCTTTAACCTAAGAGAAGAGGACTAATTCGTAGAGAGAAGAGAGAGTTTACAAAATAGCTCAAGATCTTCATCTTCTAGGATTGAATCTTTGACTCCAAGATCAACACAAGCTCCCAATTGAGTTCCAAAATCACTAAAGATAAATCTCTATCTCTCTACAAGTGCCCCTTTGGGTGTTTTGGGTCGCAAGTCGCAACCATAAAGAAGAACCCTAAAATTCCAAACCCTGCCAAGCTTGCATTTCTCTCCCCCAGCTACTACCTTTTTATATAGCCCAAGCGCCAAAATCAAGGGCTGAAGATCACGATCGTGATCTCGACAGGCAGCCCGTGATCCAACCGAAGCCACACCTTTTCGTGCTCAAAATTCATGCTCTCTTCACAAAGATCACGGTCTGTGACTGTGATCACGACTCTGTCCACGAGATGTGTGAATTCTCCTGGAACACATGTAGACTTCACGACCTAGGATCAATGTTCACGGGCTGAGGGCGTGAACTTTCCCTCCGGTCGTGATCTTGGGCTCTTCTTCACCTTTTGGCACGTTTGGACTCTCAATCGTCCTGAAACTCGTACTCGACCTTTCCACACGTACTAGGACCTGAAATATGTCAAACAAAACAAAACCTAGCGTAAAATAGGTTGAGTAGCGACGATGACCAAGTCAAACGACCAAGAAATGAAAGGTAAAATATGTATAATTATGCCCGAATTATTATGCAAAATAAAAATAAATTGCTACGAGGCTCTCAATTCGCGTCGTTTGGTAGCTGAACGAGTCTTTCTTACTCGATCCAGAACAGACTTAGGTATTTCGGGAAAAAATTTACAGGTGCAGTAGTTCATATATATTTTTTTTAATTTCTTGGATTTTTACCCCAGCAAAATAAAGATCATTGTTGTCTAGTTCTCTTCAGTTCCACGTGAAACACGTAGCTCACCCAATTCCCAGCTCGGCATCGAATGCTCCCACTTAAGGCATGAACTAATGGTACAAGTAGGGCTGAAAATCCCGACCCATCCCGGATCCTATCTTACCCGTTCCTGAAGAGTCAAGATTTATAACTGACCCATCGCGTCCATGTCTACTTCTTGACTCTATCTGACCCTTAAGGGTTGGGATGGGTCGGGACGGTGGGCCGA